AGAAGGCTGTCAAACTGACGGTGATTCAGGCTTCTGGATCGGATGAAATTAACAGTTTGGATGACCACCTTCATGACGTTATCCATCTTTAATGACTTGCAACACAAGGCCTCCTGGTGCAAAATACAGTGAAAAGTCAAAAAATCACGTCCTCCATTTGCAGATTGCACTTTCTCTCTGAACTTTGTCACAACGCCTGCTTTTTTCCCGATCATTGAGGGCGCACCATCTGTAGCCAGGCTGACAGCGCGGGACCAGTCCACTCCGACCCTGTCCAGCACGCCGACGAGTGCGGTAAAAATATCAGCTGCTGTCGTTGTATCTGTCATCGGCACCAACTCCACGAACTCCTCGGTGACGGTCAATGTGTCATCAACTCCGCGGATGAAAATGGCCAGTTGTGCAACATCTGTAATGTCCGTGCTTTCATCAATTGCAACCGAAAACGCAATAAATGACTTTACTTTTACTGAACCCACCAAACATACAGCTTTCCCATTCAATTCCGTGAATAAATAGGATGACCATTTTTCTTGGAACACTCTGCACTCTGCGTCCACTTTTCTCTTTTTTGACAGAGACATATTGGGGCAATGAGGGTGCCAAAGTACATAATGTGTCATAAAACCGTTGTGGATGTGGTGGAGGAGTCAAGCGCAGGAAGCAGAGGTTTAGTCCAACAAGACTTTTAATAGTCTAAAATGCAATAGTATAAACCCCGACCTCGATAACACGAAGAGGCGAGGGACAATTACGCACACGCGTAAAACACTAAACATAGAAAAATGATACGGAAAACAAACACGTATCATATCCAAGAGGCAACGGAAAAATAACAACACACAATTACCATAGAGCAAAACAAGGAACTTATAAGACACATAATCAACACTCAAACAGACACAGGTGTGACAGACAGACAAAAGCAATCAAACACAGAAACATAGAGCGGTGGCAGCTAATACTCCGGGGACGGCGAACGCCGAAGCCTGCCCGAACAAGGAGGAGGAGCAGCCTCGGCCGAAACCGTGACATAATGTTAAAAGTAGAAGCCGTAATAAATATCGCGGGCAAAACAAAGTAGCTCATTGGCTGCACGTGCTTGACCTACTTGCTCTGCCCCGGTATAAACAGTTTGCTTGCTTAACACAATTGCTATTGCGCCATCCAGTGGACGCAATTGGAACAGCAGTTTATTTTATTGAAAAATTGCAGTGCATTTTTATACTTTACAAAATTATTATTATTATTATTTTATTTTTTATTTTTTTCAAAATCATCTCGCGGGCCGGATTAAACCCGTTTGCGGGCCGGACGTTTGACACCCCTGTTCTATAGGATTGAGGTCAGGGCTTTGTGATGGACACTCCAATACCTTGACTTTGTTGTCCTTAAGCCATTTTGCCACAACTTTGGAAGTATGCTTGGGGTCATTGTCCATTTGGAAGACCCATTTGTGATTAACTTCCTGACTGATGTCTTGAGATGTTGCTTCAATATATCCACATAATTTTCCTTCCTCATGATGCCATCTATTTTGTGAAGTGCACCAGTCTCTCCTGCAGCAAAGCACTCCCACAGTATGATGCTGCCACCCCCGTGCTTCACGGTTGGGATGGTGTTCTTCGGCTTGCAAGCAAACCTCTTTTTCTTCCAAACGTAACGATGGTCATTATGGCCAAACAGTTCTATTTTTGTTTCATCAGACCAGAGGACATTACTCCAAAAAGTACGATCTTCGTCCCCATGTGCAGTTGCAAACTGTAGTCTGGCTTTTTTATGGCGGTTTTGGAGCAGTGGCTTCTTCCTTGCTGAGCGGCCTTTCAGGTTATGTCGATATAGGACTCGTTTTACTGTGGATATAGATACTTTTGTACCTGTTTCCTCCAGCATCTTCACAAGGTCCTTTGCTGTTGTTCTGGGATTGATTTGCACTTTTCGCACCAAAGTACGTTCATCTCTAGGAGACAGAACGCGTCTCCTTCCTGAGCGGTATGACGGTTGCGTGGTCCCATGGTGTTTATACTTGCGTACTATTGTATGTACAGATGAACGTGGTACCTTCAGGCGTTTGGAAATTGCTCCCAAGGATTTCTTTTGATTTTCCCATGATGTCAAGCAAAGAGGCACTGAGTTTGAAGGTAGGCCTTGAAATACATCCGGTACATCTCCAATTGACTCAAATGATGTAAATTAGCCTATCAGAAGCTTCTAAAGCCATGACATCATTTTCTGGAATTTTCCAAGCTGTTTAAAGGCACAGTCAACTTAGTGTATGTAAACTTCTGACCCACTGGAATTGTGATACAGTGAATTATAAGTGAAATAATCTGTCTGTAAACCATTGTTGGAAAAATGACTTGTGTCATGCACAAAGTAGATGTCCTAACCGACTTGCCAAAACTATAGTTTGTTAACAAGAAATTTGTGGAGTGGTTGAAAAAATGACTTTTCATGACTCCAACCTAAGTGTATGTAAACTTCCGACTTCAACTGTACATTTGTCTTTCCCAGCTTCCTCTCACAATTATGTGATTTACATCTTTCCCATATCTCTCATCTCTCACCTTCCCAGGGAAGGTGGTGACTCCAAATAAGATCAAAGAAGCAAAGGAAGTTTACCGTGAACACTTTCAGGATGATGTGTTCAACGAAAAGGGCTGGGAGTACATACTGGAGGTATTAGGCAGCAGGTTTTTTTTATATGTATTGCATGTTAAAGGAGCTACATGTAATATTTTAGTGATAGTTTTGATTTCCTGGTTTTTGAAGGACCTTTTCTTATAAATGTTCTTACTTCATCTTAAACCAAAACCATCTGTTGTTCTGTGGTCTAATCATGCTACAGTAATGATCCCGAGTGTTTGTATTTCAGAAGTATGACGGCCACCTGCCCATTGAAATCAAGGCAGTCCCTGAGGGTAGTGTGATCCCCAGGGGTAATGTCCTCTTCACCGTGGAGAGTACTGACCCAGAATGCTACTGGCTCACCAACTGGGTGGAGGTTAGTCAGAAATGTTTGATTGTTCATTTCACTTTTGTTTATTATCTATTTCACTTGCTTTGTCAATGTAAGCATATGTTTCCCGTGCCGATAAAGCCCATTGAATTGAACTGAATTGAATATGGCGTCTTAGCCTGGTCCCAGATCTGTCTTTGCTGTCTTGCCAACTCATGCGACAATGACCATAGGAGTTGGCAAGACAGCACAAACAGATCTGGGACCAGGCTACTGGCCTCTAGTCGGTGCCTGACCCCCTTTTTCACTATGACATTACCATAGCGTCTTTGAGTCATGGTTCAGCACTGTTTTTAGATCTGGCACATGTCCAAAGGATACAACATCATTTGGACAGATGCTTTGTGCATTGTTGTCTATCTATATTTTGCTCATGGTAGAAAGTGTCAAGGCAGAGACTCCTCATAAACAACAACAATAAAATGCAAGGTTTCTAAAAGAGCCTGATGCCATACTTGCAAACATAAGCACGCATTTAAAGTATCCGCCAATTAAAAATAGACGATTTACTTGCATGAAACCTCTCCAAGTGACAGTGATTACATCCTGGCACAACTTCTGCTGCAGCCTATCAAAGATATTAGATTTTCTATCCACCAACCAATGGCATTTCTTATTTTGAACCTACAAATTCAAGGTTTATCATTGGTCTGTAACAAAATGTTGTGTGGCAATATTGCACTGATGCATCCTTGACTAGGTTACTAGTTAGACAACATTTTCACGTTTTCGCATACATGACAAAGTAAAAAAAAAAAGTTTATATTTTCACACACATCCATTTGCTTTTATGGAAAAAATATAAATGAGGTCCTTACAAGAAAGTTTATCGACGTACATCGTAAAAAGAAACGACGAAACGAATATACAATTTCAATCCAGTCACTTAAAAAATACATAAACCAGAAAACATACAATGCAATAAGACATATCAAAATGTGCAGCTCTTTATCAGCTCTTGGAACAAAGACGATAATTGAATTCACACAGTAACATTTAATTCACGTTTCATCAGTCGTCACACCTGTCTTGGCGTCAGTGACCCCAGGACTTCCATGAGAATGTCTCTTTATTGAACTTGGCACAGATAAGGCGTGTTGGATTCCTGTGATAGCCCTCAGATGGTCTTCCTTCCAAACAATGTCATAAGTCATGTTTGAGGGGTCACGCTGTGCTCCAACGCCAGCGAGTATCATCTTCTCTCATTCTTCCACTACAGTTGACTTGTAATCGATAGTATTTTTTAACCGTGATTTCGAGTCCACCTCGCATTAAGCTTTTTTGTTGAGGAGAAAACTGTTCAATGCCGGTCCTTGATGCTCGATTCAAAACGCATGTGACGAAGTGGATTATTATAATAATGCAGGCAATAGCAGTGTGTTTGTGTGCAAGGCTGGAATTAAATTCCTTTTTCATTTTCAAGCTGTTGGCTGTAGGCTACGTCCCTTTCCATCACACACATGTAATTCTACATTTCAAAGGGGCGGGGGGGGGGGGGAACTCATGTGAGATTCAAACCCTTGCCAAAATCTGCGACAAGTACATGGACTATGCACTTTACACAGAGAGTAATTTGACCAGTCAGTCAAATACACATGATAGCCTAGTTGCATATTGATCAGAAGGTGCTGTTGGACTGAGGTATGTTAAGGATGCTTCCATGAACAAGTGTTGGAACACGTCCAACTACGTCTACGATTTTAATTGGCTGCAGAAGTTGTGCCAGGATGTAATCACTGCCACCTGTTGAGGTTAGCAAAGGCCTAACGTGTGCCATGTTATCTGATGGGACCAGCTACAATTTAGATTTATGTCACATGCAAGTAAATCGACAATTTTAATTGGATGATATGCATTTTGTGCGTGAGAACTTGTTTAACTTTAAATTCTTGCTTATGATCGCAAGTATGGTCCCCCGCTGTAAGTGCTTGAATGTATTTATCTATACACGTTGTGTAGTAAGTAGCGCTGATTCAAGTCCATGTGGATGATGTACTTTCCCCAGCATCACCAACTCTTCCCTCTCTTCGTCTCTCAGACAATACTGGTGCAGATCTGGTACCCCATTACAGTAGCGACTAACTCCAGAGAGCAGAAGAAGATCCTAGCCAGGTCTCTACTGGAGACGTCAGGGAACCTGGACAAACTGGAGTATAAACTGCATGACTTTGGTTACAGGGGAGTCTCATCTCAAGAGGTACTTACTGTTATTAATTATCATTATGATAACAGTGTTGGATTCATTGTACTGTACATACAACATACATATGGATAGCATAATGGAGCAGGTCCCTGCCGATTTCCCAACCTGGGGTCGAACAAAGACCCTTTCCCAAACCTCTCCTCAGGGAACCCCAGCCGTTCCATGTATTTTATCTATTCATCAAGCTCTTGACCAGGTAAGTCAGGTGGGCTAATTCAGGGCTAAAACAAAATTGTAAAATGTCTGGGGGTCCCAGAGTAAAGTTTTGAGAAACACTGCTCTACGCCGAGGTTTCCCAAACTCGGTCCTGGGCTTTGATTATTTGAATCAGCTGTGTAGTGTTAGGGCAGAAAACCAAAACGTGCACGCAGGGGGGGGGGGCCCAAGGACCGAGTTTGGGAAACCTTCCTCTACACAAAAACACTTTGGGTGTGTTCGTAAATTCCCTCTGGCTATCTACTCCGATTTCAGAGACTCTCGTCTGAGTGTGCCAGAGCGCAGAATAACTGATTCATTTATGAACGCTCAACACCCGTTGAATATGGCCAGTGTCAGTAAATGTCGGCAAAAAAACTTTAATTGTTGCCAGCAGCACAGTTACAGTCACCAACGCCAACCAGCTCTGCTATGGCAAGTAAAATGGTCAGTGTGAGGTGTTCTCTCATTTGTGTCTGGAAGTAGCTAGCAAGCTAGCCAACGTTAGCCAGTTAGCTTTGGGTGCTTGACTGCCGTTGTGAGGTCAGAATGCTCGGATCAGCCCTACTCCTCGGCCAGAGCATCCAGTGTGTGCGCTGAACGCTCCGAGAGCGAAACACTCTGAATTTACAGAGCAGACTCTGAGCGCATTCTGGCACTCCATAGTGAATTTACGAACACACCCTTTGTAATAAAAAAAAACACTTTCAGTTTCACATCCTCTGATGCCATACTGTTTCACATCCTCTGATGCCATACTGTTTCACATCCTCTGATGCCATACTGTTTCACATCATCTGATGCCATACTGTTTCACATCCTCTGATGCCATACTGTTTCACATCCTCTGATGCCATACTGTTTCACATCCTCTGATGCCATACTGTTTCACATCCTCTGATGCCATACTGTTTCACATCCTCTGATGCCATACTGTTTCACATCCTCTGATGCCATACTGTTTCACATCCTCTGATGCCATACTGTTTCACATCCTCTGATGCCATACTGTTTCACATCCTCTGATGCCATACTGTTTCACATCCTCTGATGCCATACTGTTTCACATCCTCTGAAGCCATACTGTTTAACATCCTCTGATGCCATACTGTTTCACATCCTCTGATGCCATACTGTTTCACATCCTCTGATGCCATACTGTTTAGCTGTTCCTGTCATGTGATGTTTTTGTCTGGTTTCAGACCGCTGGCATCGGAGCGTCTGCCCACCTGGTGAACTTTAAAGGCACAGACACGGTGGCTGGTATCTGTGTCATTAAGAAGTACTACGGCACCAAAGACCCTGTGCCCGGCTTCTCTGTGCCAGCTGCAGAGCACAGGTAACACTGAGACACGGGTAACACAGAGACACAGGTAACACAGAGACACAGGTAGACAGAGACACAGGTAACACAGAGACACAGGTAGACACAGAGACACAGGTAGACACAGAGACACAGGTAGACACAGAGACACAGGTAGACAGAGACACAGGTAGACACAGAGACACAGGTAGACACAGAGACACAGGTAGACACAGAGACACAGGTAACACAGAGACACAGGTAGACAGAGACACAGGTAACAGAGACACAGGTAACACAGAGACACAGGTAACACAGAGACGCGGGTAGACACAGAGAAACAGGTAACACAGAGACACAGAGACACAGGTAACACAGTGACACAGGTAACACAGAGACACAGGTAACACAGAGACACATGTAACACAGAGACACAGGTAGACACAGAAACACAGGTAACACAGAGACACAGGTAACACAGAGACACAGGTAGACACAGAGACACAGGTAGACACAGAGACACAGGTAGACACAGAGACACAGAGACACAGGTAGACACAGAGACACAGGTAACACAGAGACACAGGTAACACAGAGACACAGGTAGACACAGAGACACAGGTAACACAGAGACACAGGTAACACAGAGACACAGGTAACACAGAGACACAGGTAGACACAGAGACACAGGTAAACACAGAGACACAGGTAAACACAGAGACACAGGTAAACACAGAGACACAGGTAACACAGAGACACAGGTAGACACAGCGGGTACAGCACAATTAGCACAGATTAAAGCTAAAGCATGCAATCACACTGTAGAAATTGACTGATTTTATATGTACATGGCCGTCACAAGTAGGTTTAACTTTTTAATTCATTCCAGAGAACTAATCAAGTCTCAGTATCATTTTCAGAGCATGATATATAGCGCCCTCTTCTGAGTTTTGTGTTGTACTACACTGTTCTTCTGTGTTTCTCAAACACATTTAGTCACGGTTTAGTTTAAGTGATTTCCTGTATTGCTTACCTATGGATAAATATTTTATTGCCAGCACCATCACCGCCTGGGGTAAGGACCATGAGAAAGATGCCTTTGAGCACATTGTGAGGCAGTTCCCCAACGTGCCCGTGTCCATCGTCAGCGACAGCTATGATATCTACAACGCCTGTGAGAAGATCTGGGGAGAGGACCTCAGGAGCCTCATCGAGTCCCGCAGCGCTGACGCACCCCTGGTCATCAGGCCAGACTCAGGAGACCCCTTAGACACCGTCCTCAAGGTAGAGAAGATAGATAAAGCATCACCCAGCGCTAGCAGTTTACAACAGTCCATCAGTGGTGGAACCATCGGGCCTGGTTCTCTTTAGTTCTCTTTTGTCCTAGTGTTTTTCTGGTTCTAATGGAGAAAGGGCATGGGTCTCACTGGCAGTATCACCGGCACTGTGTAGGACCATTATGATGTTAAAGTCTTCTGTCAACAGCTCATTATAAATACATTCAAATCATTGGTCCTCTGTAGCTCAGCTGGTAGAGCACGGCGCTTGTAACGCCAGGGTAGTGGGTTCGATCCCCGGGACCACCCATACACAAAAATGTATGCACACATGACTGTAAGTCGCTTTGGATAAAAGCGTCTGCTAAATGGCATATTATTTATGTATTATTATTAAAGAGAGAGCAGGACTATGAACATGTCTCTCACTAGCTTGCTGATTCCAAGGTGTTGGAGATTTTAGGGAGGAAGTTCCACACCACAGAGAACAGCAAAGGATACAAGGTGCTGCCCCCTTACATCCGAGTCATCCAGGGGGATGGTGTGGACATCAACACACTGCAGGAGGTAGGTTCACTGTACTCACCTGCCTACCTGACCCTCCTACCAGTGGGGTCCAATCTTATCTGTTGTTCCAAGGTTCTATTGTAACCAGTCTCATTGCAACCAGTCAGCCACACACTTGATTCAACTAAGCAAAGTCTGGAGACTAGGATTAGTTGAATCCATTGTGTGACAGACTGGTTTGGAAGCTTTGAACCACTCCAGGCTTCTCCGGGTAAGATTGGAATGGAATCCACTGCTTTTAAATGAGTAGTATTATTAGGGCTTGGTTCTGTAAAATAACCTTGGACCCACCCCTCGGGTGTTCTGTCGTCTTCAGATTGTGGCGGGGATGAAGCAACACAGGTGGAGTGTAGAGAACGTGGGTTTTGGGTCGGGCGGTGCCCTGCTCCAGAAACTGACCCGGGACCTGCTCAGCTGCTGCTTCAAGTGCAGCTTTGTGGTGACCAACGGACTGGGGGTGAGTCAGTGAACGTCCAGTCATTGTCATGAGAGGACATTGTTGTGAATTCATGATTCTTTCTCAATTCATCTGTTCTCAATTCATATGTTCTCAGTTAATCTGTTGTCAATTAATCTGTTCTCAATTCATCTGTTCTCAGTTCATCTGTTCTCAGTTCATCTGTTCTCAGTTCATCTGTTCTCAGTTCATCTGTTCTCAGTTCATCTGTTCTCAATTCATCTGTTCTCAGTTCATCTGTTCTCAATTCATCTGTTCTCAATTCCTTGTGTCCTCTCTCATTGCTTCCTCCGAAAAAGCATTGGAGGAGAAGATCCAGGTTCCCTCCTCTCGGTCTTTCTCATCCAATACGTTCCGAGGAGGCTAGGAGAGAGGAGGCTAGGAGAGAGGAGGCTAGGAGAGAGGAGGCTAGGAGAGAGGAGGCTAGGAGAGAGGAGGAGAGGAAAGAGGAGGAGAGGAAAGATGAATTGGGAAAGAGCCCAAGTCTTTGTTAACACTTTATATGAAGCTGCTCTAATACCTGTGTAATAACACTGTAATTCATTACTATTGTAGTGGCCAATATTTGATATGTAAGCATATTATATATACATCACACGCAATCCGTAATAAGACTTAGCAATTAGACTATTAAAATGAATTATCTGACTCCATAAGATAAATGGGGCGGCAGGTAGCTTAGTGGTTAAGAGCGTTGTGCCAGTAACCGAAAGGTCGCTGGTTCTAATCCCCAAGCCGACTAGGTGAAAAATCTGTCGATGTGCCCTTGAGCAAGGCACTTAACCCTAATTGCTCCTGTAAGTCGCTCTGGATAAGAGCGTCTGCTAAATGACTAAAATGTTAAATGTAAAATAAATAGCAATATGCAAGAACACTATAGTTAAATCATGTACAATCAAGTATTATGCATTTAGCTGACGAAGATCAATGAATGGTCATGAGAATGGATTTCTAAATGTGTATTTAATAACTTTGTAAAATGAATGATAACATTATAAAAGGCATGAGCTGAAGTTACAAAGCATTAGCAAGCATTACAAGGCATTATTCTAAACATGGTCAGAGTGGGAGAGAGACCAAGAAACCCTGAATTGTGCCATGGCCCATAGCTCATGGGAGAGAGAGAGAGAAACCCTGACTTATGCCATAGCTCATGGGAGAGAGAGAGAGAAACCCTGGCTTGTGCCATGGCCCATAGCTCATGGGAGAGAGAGAGAGAAACCCTGGCTTATGCCATAGCTCATGGGAGAGAGAGAGAGAAACCCTGGCTTGTGCCATGGCCCATAGCTCATGGGAGAGAGAGAGAGAAACCCTGAATTGTGCCATGGCCCATAGCTCATGAGAGAGAGAGAGAAACCCTGGCTTATGCCATGGCCCATAGCTCATGGGAGAGAGAGAGAGAGTAGGTACCTCACCAGCGCAGGTCAGGCACAAATAAGAGAAAGGGACAATGAATCTAAGAACCTTTATAGCATCTGAGTTGTTTGGATTCAAAATCTGAGATGTTGACCAATAGTATTACTGTAAAGTTAACCTCCAATCATATATCAGTCCTACATGATGTAATCACAACAGATCGGATGGCTCAGATTACGGTGTCTGCAGTAACACTTTGTTTGTTCTTTCTCCTGAACTTCTACTCTCAACCTCTCCGATCATTTTCATGATGTCCATCCGGTTTGCTTCTATATGCCATATCTTTCTAACTGTGCTCCTTCACAAAAGCTCCCAACCTACAACCCCATATACTTATTATGGACACAGCATGCCTACATTATTAGTTATCTTGTTATTGTTTGTTGTTAGTTGTTATTAGTCCCATCCTTCAATTCCATTAAACACCTCCCATCTATCTCTTAACACCATCCATATAGGATTTCTATTTGCCATATATATTTCAACTGTACTGTGATGTCTTACAAAAGTTCTGAACCTTTCTATTCTCATTGCTTCTACAGATTGTGAATTGAAAAATTTTTTTTTTACTAATAGTATTATTATGTTATTGATCGATTGACTATGACTTTTCAGATCACCCAGTAGTCCTATATTACTACAGTATTGTTTGTAATAGTTTAATGTTGCATAGGCTTACGTCTTGTAAAGAAAATACATCTGAATGGTAGATCTCGGCTTGCATTTGGACTCAAAGTAATCTGGACTCACAAAATGATCTGCTCAGAAAGTGATCTGGACTTAGAAAGTGATCTGGACTCAGAAAGTGATCTGGACTCAGAAAATGGTTGGTGACCACTGTTGTATTATGTTCTTTTAATTACAGCTGAATGTGTTCAAGGACCCTGTTGCTGACCCTAATAAAAGATCAAAGAAAGGTCGTCTGTCACTCCACAGAACACCAACAGGAGACTTTATGACCCTTGAGGAAGGGAAGGGGGCCCTGGAGGAATACGGTCCAGTAAGCCATTTAAACAAGTGGTCATCCTAAAACCATAGATAAAAGCCTTTTGTTTTTCTTTCTCTGAGGCTTAAGCAAACATATTTTTTGGGGGACTATTATGGAGTTGTTTTAAAGTCATATTGTAATTGAAAGTTGATAAGTTTACTCTCTATTCCTCTTTCTCTCGGTCTTCTTTCCCCAGGATCTGCTTCACACCGTTTTCAGAAATGGTGTGATACTGAAGACGTATACATTTGATGAGGTCAGAGACAACGCCAAGATCAGGGACTGTGACCTGGAAGAGTCTGTAGACTGAGGCCTGTACATGCTCCAACATACTACGCAGAAAGGACTGGAACCCTTCTACCTCCCTGTACAGCACTGACCACTAGGATGAGAACAAATAGCACTTAACGTTGTCCTTGGAGACAGAGAGAGAGAGAGAGAGAGAGAGAGAGAGAGAGACACTTCATTAGAACAATGTTACACAATGTTAAAAATATATAAACTAAGAAATGTATGATTGAGAAATTATATAAAAAGCACCTTTTATTGAGATTAATTAAACTTGAATTTTTTGATTTTATCATGTATATTTTCCTTTTTCTGAAAGCCCATTTTAAATCGTCTCTGTCTATGGTTGAATTCGGGGAAGGCAGGCTTCCCTTCTGTGTTCATGAGCCATATGTCCAGGATATTGTCACATTCTCAAACATTTATTTGTAAGAACAAAACAACCCTTTCCCTCCAGTTCATTGAAGATAAACAAATTATCCAGAAAAACACCAGTCAGATTCATTTCAAATGTTATGGATAAACAACAAAATTACTTTTCAATCTAGATTGAAATTAGCCTGTTTAAAAAGGGTAGCGGGTGTGTGTCTTCAAAAGTAACAGGCCACAACAGTCTTCAAAGTAACTAACAGTCTGTGAGCCCTGCCCCGCGCGATCTATTGAAATATAAAGGGACGTTGCTTGAACATCCTTGCACTGGCAGGTTTGTTTAGGTTTAGCAGTAGCAGCTGGAGGAAGGCTAATGATGCCCCAACCTCGAGTCGATTCTGCACTTATTAAAGAACCGCTTGGCGAGTGGATTCTGCACTTGTTAAAGAACCGCTCGGCGAGTGGATTCTGCACTTGTTAAAGAACCGCTCGGCGAGTGGATTTTGCACTTGTCAAAGAACCGCTCGGCGAGTGGATTTTGCACTTGTCAAAGAACCGCTCGGCGAGTGGATTTTGCACTTGTCAAAGAACCGCTCGGCGAGTGGATTTTGCACTTGTCAAAGAACCGCTCGGCGAGTGGATTTTGCACTTGTTAAAGAACCGCTTGGCTTCATCAAAATCTTGGAATCTTTTCAATCTTTTATTTGTTGTTATCGATCATATTGACTGAATCGGAAAAATCCAGTTTTTCATGTTTTATCATCTGATCTGATTTGAAGTTAACCGCGGCTTTCGCTTTTGGGAGCTGTAGCGGCTAGAGTGGGATAAATATTTTGTCAATTTCTTGCAGGGAGAAAACAGAAGTGAAACTTTGATTGCAGCTTTTATCCCTTCAGGTAGAGTTGAAGTCGGAAGTTTACATACACCTTTAGCCAAATACATTTAAACTCTGTTTTTCACAATTCCTGACATTTAATCCTAGTAATAATTCCCTGCCTTAGGTCAGTTAGGATCACCACTTTATTTTAAGAATGTGAAATGTCAGAATAATAGTAGAGAATGATTTATTTCAGCTTTTTATTTCATTAATTACATTCCCAGTGGGTCAGAAGTTTACATACACTCAATTAGTATTTGGTAGCATTGCCTTTAAATTGTTTAACTTGGGTCAAACGTTTCGGGTAGCCTTCCACAAGCTTCCCACAATAAATTGGGTGAATTTTGGCCCATTCCTCCTGACAGAGCTGGTGTAAGTGAGACAGGTTTGTAGGCCTCCTTGCTCGCACACGCTTTTTCAGTTCTGCCCACAAATGTTCTATAGGATTGAGGTCAGGGCTTTGTGATGGCCACTCTAATACCTTTACTTTGTTGTCCTTCAGCCATTTTGCCACAACTTTGGAAGTATGCTTGGGGTCATTGTCCATTTGGAAGACCCATTTGCGACTAAGCTTTAACTTCCTGACTGATGTCTTGAGATGTTGCTTCAATATATCCACATAATTTTCCTTCCTCATGATGCCATCTATTTTGTGAAGTGCACCAGTCCCTCCTGCAACAAAGCACCCCCACAGCATGATGCTGCCACGCCCGTGCTTCACGGTTGGGATGGTGTTCTTCGGCTTGCAAGTGACCCCCTTTTTCCTCCAAACATAACGATGATCATTATGGCCAAACTGTTCTAATTTTGTTTCATCAGACCAGAGGTCATTTCTCCAAAAGGTACAATCTTTGTCCCCATGTGCAGTTGCAAACCGTAGTCTGGCTTATTTATGGCGGTTTTGGAGCAGTGGCTTCTTCCTTGCTGAGTGGCCTTTCAGGTTATGTCGATATAGGACTCGTTTTACTGTGGATATAGATACTTTTGTACCTGTTTCCTCCAGCATCTTCACAAGGTCCTTTGCTGTTGTTCTGGGATTGATTTGCACTTTTCGCACCAAAGTACGTTCATCTCTAGGAGACAGAACGCGTCACCTTCTTGAACGGTATGACAGCTGCATGGTCCCACGGTGTTTATACTTGTGTACTATTGTTTGTACAGATGAACGTGGTACCTTCAGGCATTTGGAAATTGCTCCCAAGGATGAACCAGACTTGTGGAGGACTACAATTTTTTTCTGAGGTCTTGGCTGATTTCTTTTGATTTTCCCATGATGTCAAGCAAAGGGGCACTGAGTTTGAAGGTAGGCCTTGAAATACATCCACAGGTACACCTCCAATTGACTCAAATTATGTAAATTAGCCTATCAGAAGCTTCTAAAGCCATGACATCATTTTCTGGAATTTTCCAAGATGTTTAAAGGCACAGTCAACTTAGTGTATGTAAACTTCTGACCCACTGGAATTGTGATACAGTGAATTATAAGTGAAATAATCTGTCTGTAAACAATTGTTGGAAAAATTACTTGTGTCATGCACAAAGTAGATGTCCTAACCGACTTGCCAAAACAATAGTTTGTTAACAAGAAATTTGTGGAGTGGTTGAAAAACTAGTTTTAATGACTCCAACCTAAGTGTATGTAAACTTCCGACTTCAACTGTATGTCTCTGTATGTCTCCTATCTGTATGTTCTATTAATATCCCTGACAGAGGGTAGCTAGTAACCTATTCTTAGATCAGGTCCTAGGTCCTGCTGTCTTGCCAACTTGCACGACGTCGACAATGATAATAGAGGACTTGGAAAGACAGCATAAACAGATCTGGGACCATGCTCATCAGGTTAATGTGTTAGACAAAATTGCTTTGGTAAAGGCTTAGTCCCAACCTGCTGTAGGCTAGTTTGAACAATACTTTTAATGTTCTCTAATGTATTTGTATACATTTGTTTTAGTTGCCCAGTAATTATTTTGCATCCGAAGCCCTTTGAGGACCTCTATTCTATCTATCATCACCTGTCCTGTGCCCCCCAGGTTCAGCCAGGTGCCACTGGTGTAACCGTACTGTACCAGAGACTCACCTGGTGGGGGACTTTGCCTTCTCAGCTGTGTTCTTTGTGAGCGTCACCATCATGGCCTTCATGTACTGTATGGTGACTGTACTGTATGGTGACGGTACTATATGGTGACGGTACTGTATGGTGACTGTACTGTATGGTGACGGTACTGTATGGTGACTGTACTGTATGGTGACTGTACTATATGGTGACGGTACTGTATGGTGACTGTACTGTATGGTGACGGTACTGTATGGTGACTGTACTGTATGGTGACGGTACTGTATGGTGACTGTACTGTATGGTGACTGTACTATATGGTGACTGTACTATATGGTGACGGTACTGTATGGGGACTGTACTATATGGTGACTGTACTGTATGGTGACTGTACTATATGGTGACGGTACTGTATGGTGACTGTACTGTATGGTGACTGTACTGTATGGTGACGGTACTATATGGTGACTGTACTGTATGGTGACTGTACTGCATGGTGACTGTACTATATGGTGACTGTACTGTATGGTGACTGTACTGTATGGTGACTGTACTGTATGGTGACTATGTATGGTGACTGTACTGTATGGTGACTGTACTGTATGGTGACGGTACTGTATGGTGACTGTACTGTATGGTGACGGTACTATATGGTGACGGTACTGTATGGTGACTGTACTGTATGGTGACTGTACTGTATGGTGACTGTACTGTATGGTGACTGTACTGTATGGTGACGGTACTGTATGGTGACTGTACTATATGGTGACGGTACTGTATGGTGACTGTACTGTATGGTGACTGTACTGTATGGTGACTGTACTGTATGGTGACGGTACTGTATGGTGACTGTACTGTATGGTGACTGTACTATATGGTGACTGTACTATATGGTGACGGTACTGTATGGGGACTGTACTGTATGGTGACTGTACTGTATGGTGACTGTACTATATGGTGACGGTACTGTATGGTGACTGTACTGTATGGTGACTGTACTGTATGGTGACGGTACTGTATGGTGACTGTACTGTATGGTGACTGTACTATATGGTGACTGTACTGTATGGTGACGGTACTATATGGTGACTGTACTGTATGGTGACGGTACTGTATGGTGACTGTACTGTATGGTGACTGTACTGTATGGTGACTGAACTGTATGGTGACTGTACTGTATGGTGACGGTACTGTATGGTGACTGTACTGTATGGTGACTGTACTGTATGGTGACGGTACTGTATGGTGACGGTACTGCATGGTGACGGTACTGTATGGTGACGGTACTATATGGTGACGGTACTGTATGGTGACTGTACTGTATGGTGACGGTACTGTATGGTGACTGTACTGTATGGTGACTGTACTATATGGTGACGGTACTGTATGGTGACTGTACTGTATGGTGACTGTACTGTATGGTGACTGTACTATATGGTGACTGTACTGTATGGTGACTGCCAGTGGTGTAAAGTAATTAAGTAAAATATACTTGAAAGTACTACTTAAGTCGTTTTTTGGGGGTATCTGTACTTTACTATTTTTGACTATTATTAATGACAATTATGTACATTTTCACTGACACCCAAAAGTTCTCGTTACATTTTGAATGCTTAGCAGGACAGGAAAATGGTCTAATTTACACACTTATCAAGGGAATATCCCTGCTCATCTCTACTGCCTCTGATCAAGCGGACTCACTAAACAAATGCTGTGTTTGTAAATTATGTCTGTAAGGTTCTGTATTTATTTTCTTAGTCAACCTTGTGTTCTTGAACGTAGTCCTGTTTCTTTGTGTTCTTGAACGTAGCCCTGTCTTTCATTTTTGTTCATTGATTTCACCTGTGTTAGTTACTCACCTGGTCTCATCAGCTCCTTATTTAGTTCAGTTCTTTCTGTTTGTGCCTTGTGAGGTATTGTTCGTTTTGACTCCACTAAGCCTTTTCCTAGCTTGTTTGTGAGCACCAGTTTTAGCCTTCAGTCCTAGTTTTGTTTCACCTGCCTGTTTGCCTGCCTGTGTATGACCATTGCCTGCCTGTGACCACGATTCCTGTCTTCTGCTAAGGTGAAATAAACACCTGCCGCGCTCTGCACGTGAATCTACAACTTTTTCTCCCTGAGTATTCAGTACAGAATACCTCACCAAAAACTGAATGGATTCAGCGGAGCTACAGTGGCGCCAAACCCGGTAAGAGGAGCGTATGGAGGTAATCGGCCATCTTCTCCGCCAGCCTATCCCTACTCCTCCGATGCCAGGTGGCGTGACCCATAGCCCTCCTTCATTCATATCCATGCCTGGAAAATATGACGGTTCACCTGGTAAATGTCAGGGATTTCTGATGCAATGCAGCAAATACATTGAGCACAACCCCATTCACTTCGCCACCGACAAGAGCAGGGTGGATTTTGTTGTGTTTCTACTCACAGGCAAAGCCCTGGATTGGGCCACCACCATATGGACTGCCAACAGCGCAGAACTCGGATCCGAGACCCATTTCCACACCCTCTTCAAAGAGGTATTCGATCACTCTCCTTCCTGTCGTCCTATAGGGGACCTCCTCATAGACCTTCAACAAGGACGCAATTCAGCTGCCGAGTATGCCCTCGAGTTCCGCACCATGGCGGCAGGGAGTGGATGGAGTGAGGCTGCTTTACTTACTGTCTACCGAAGAGGGCTCAACAGGGAACTTCAGGCGGCCTGTAGAGGTGACCTTCAGGATTTAAATCAATACATTCGTATGTCCATCTCCATCGACCACCTCATCGCCGACCACCTCATCGCCGACCACCGAAGAACTCTGCCACCCAGGAACCCGAAACCTTCTCTTTCCATGATTCCGTCATCCTGTCCGAGTCTTCCAGAGCCCATACAGTTGGGCCATGCTCCTCTCCCGTGTATCGAACGTCGAAGGCGGATCCAAGAAGGGCTCTGCCTATACTGTGGAGGGAAAGATCATCTACTCAGCCATTGCCCTGATCGCCCCCCCCCCCCCCAATTGCTTTGACGAAACCTGTGATGTCATTGGTGTATTCTTGTGAATATTTTAAGATGAGGAAGTGATACTGTACCCAATTCCTTTTTAGGCTATAATAGAGCCCCATCAAGCTGGTCGCAGTAGTAAGGAGACAGGCTGTGTACATTCCTGTGTGAAGCTGTGTGTTGACTTTAATCAAATCCCTTCTCTCAAACACATAAAATTGTATAAATGTTCAATTTCAACACCCTATGAATCAAAATTACATTAAACCACATTAACATTTTTGCTTTGTCACAGGCTCTGTCCTCTAGCTTGGTTCCAGATTTGTTTGTGCTGTCTTGCCAACTCATATGGTTATTCACTGACAGCACAAACTATTATGGGGCCGGGCTATCTCCCCTCGACCACACACAGCAACCCAGTACTCTGTGTAGTCACAGGGTGGTGGTTAACCTGCTTCCTCTCTCCACAGCCAGGGGCCGTGTTCGAGAGCATCAAAACCGTGATGCATCATGGGTAAATTGTGACTGACTGACCTGATTTACAAATAATATTGAGTAGATATTTATGATACAAGGTGATTTGATTTGTAGATCAGTCAGTCTCGACTCAACTTCGAAGTCGGCTGCAACGTGGAAGGTCTTGTTTGCTTGTCTACTCCCTGTGACTTAAATGATCACAGATGCTTCTCTTCCCAGTAGTATCTGAAGAACAACTGTCATTCATATGACTGCTGAGAACTTCCCTGCGTGAAGAGGGCCTGACCAATGGTGAAGGCAGTATACTGTAAGGGTCTGACTGTACTGCCCAACTGTTAGTTGATGTCCTATGGAGGACCGGTCTTTTAACATTGTAAAAGTAGATTATAGTCTATAGCAACTTTCTTTGCAATTATGAAAATGTAAAATTTTTTCAGGCAGCATGATTCTTTTCTGTGTGATTATACTTTTTTCTGAGCTTTTCAAAACATACCAAAAGACGACACAGTTATGATAGAAAGGTGGCAGGATTAGTGACAGTTGGTTACACTTGAGTTTGATGAATGACGGAAACGGTCTGTGCCTCAACGGTTGAGTAACATAGTAACACTAAACACCAGAGCAGTTTGATCTAGATAAGCTTTGACAGGTTATATTTATTTGTCTGTTATCTTGACTTACAAAGCTGTTACTAAGTCACACTATGGCCCGACCCGGCTTGAACTGATGTACAATACAAACATTGCCTGCACAAACGTTTACACAACTGTTGTCAAGGCAAAACATTTTCCCCAAAACCAAAATCCTATGCTTGACTGTAATAATGATTTGGAAGATTTCTAAGCACACAAGTCATGTGTTATATGTCAGTGAGGAATCAGACTTCAGACATATTGGGCCTTCCCCTAGTTGTCATGGGTACCTTATCTAACTTTACCCCTCCTTCTGAAAGAGCAGACCTTGCAGACGGTCCAGACTGGACCAGGGAGATCCTCTCTCCTCTGTGGCCCTGCCCACTCCCTCACTCCTCATCTGTGATTGGCCAGTGCCAGTCCTCCCCCTCCCAATCCTAGCCTGTGATTGGGCAGAATGACCATGCTGACCATCAGGAATGACCATGCTGCTGCTCTCTAGCTGTATCATAGGGAGAGACTCGGACACGGTGGTAACGTTCTTCCAGCGTCTGGCTCCAGACTGACTGTTGTACTCGTACACCCTCCCCGTGACTGAAAATTGACCAAAAAATGCAAAAGGTCAGAATTAGGTTTTAGATCATCTCAGAACAGATAACAGGAAATTAGATAAATTTACCAGGATCAACTTCCTCTCCATCAAATACAGTGTTGATCTTGGTCACTTCCTGGAATAGAGAGAGCGGTCAGCAACATTTGAATAGATGTCCTAGAACACAGTGGCACATTAACACATACTGTAGGTAGACTCTTACCATTAATATTTCCCTCTTTGGAGGTGTTGGTTCTGGGATCCTATGTGACAGAAAAAAAAGAAAGGATATCATTAGTAATGCATGAAATATACATTTCTGTCATCAACAATGTCTTGATTCTCCCACAGCCGTGTAATGATTCCCTCACGGCTCAGCTCAGCAGGCAAAAACTGGTTGAAAGGACATCAAACTGATTTGTAATGACATCGTAAGCTGGTTGTAACAACATCGTTTCAACCAACCTTTGCCTACTGGGAGATGTAGTATCGCAGGTAAATACTCACAGTACTTCCTTCTCTTCCCGGGGCCTGGGTTCGCAGCAAGAGCAGTCACAGTGTTTAAGAGCCGTGTACAGCCACCCACAGAGGTGATACAGCAGGTAGGCCAGTAAACCAAGCAGTAGCATGGCCCCCAGAGCAATGACGAACCATATATACCAGTCATCCACGCTGTATGTGTTCTCAGTGATGGTGATGTATGTTACACGAGGCTGCAAGGGAAGGGTTAACTGTGATTGTGCTAGTCTATGGTGTGAGGAAATTCACATCAAAGATGGGTTGTTCAGAGTCGATGTAGAAAAGTGTCAAATGGTTGTTATGGTAACAACTACTAATGTCCTTATTCGAATCAAATTGTATTTGTCTCATGCGCCGAATACAACAGCTGTAGACCTTACCGTGAAATGCTTACTTACAAGCCCTTAACCAACAATGCAGTTTAAAAAAAAAATAGATTTACGAAAATGTTTACTAAATAAACTAAAGTAAAATAAAATAAAAATAAAGTAACACAATAAAATAACAATAATGTGGCTATATACAGGGGGTACCGGTACTGAGTCAATGTGCGGGGGTACAGGTTAGTCGAGGTAATTTGTACATGTAGTTTTTTTTATTAAATTTTTTTAACACACAAAATAGCACAATTGGTTAGGAGCCCATATAGTGGCAGGAGGGTACGAGGTCCCTGAGCACAGCTCGAATTCGGGTCGCCATGACCAAAGGCAGCAGCCGTAATCACTGCTTTAAGAAGGCAACGCCCCCGGGGGAGTGGTTATCTGCCTTCTTTACGCTAGGTTCATTACAGTATAGAGATAAAGGCATGCTCACTATAGTTGTAGTGATGACGGTGGTGAGGTCCGGATCCACTACTCGGATGTTGATGATGACTGTGCCAGTCTGGGTCAGACCTCTTGGCTTAGACCTTCCAGACCTCAGGTTCCCATCAGAAACCAGCACAGTCAGGCTGTATCAAACCAACCAACCAATCAATCATATAAAGTTAGAGGTTAAGAATACATGTAACCATCAAAGGCCAGATAGGTTCTCAGTTCAGAGGGCATTGTACAGTATGTTTGTCAGACTGAGAGTTGTACAGACTGACAGAGCACCAATAGTAGATAGAATATCTGACCTGTAGTGCCAGACCTGGTCCAGGCCACTCTCATAGTCAAAGGGCACCTTCAGGAAGAGTCTGGTGACGTTGGTGCCAGAGGAAGGTGAGAACACAAAATGGTTGTTCAGGTTGCTGGCCCCTATAGGGAAACATTTAGGAAATATCAAGCTTATGGTATCTTATACAGTCATAAAAGTTAAGTACGTCATGGTAACTCTGTCACATAGACCAGTCTTCTTGGATCATATCTAGAGTACAGGTTTCTCAGTTGGCTCAGGGCCGGTATTCATAAAGCATCAGAGTAGGAGTGCTAATGTGGAAACCAAGGAACTTGAAGCTCTCAACCTGTTCCAATACAGCCCCGTCGATGAGAATGGGGGCGTGCTCAGTCCTCTTTTTTTTCCCTGTAGTCCACAATCATCTCCTTTGTCTTGATCACGTTGAGGGAGAGGTTGTTATCCTGGCACCACACGGCAGGTCTCTGACCTCCTCCCTATAGGCTGTGTCATCGTTGTCGGTGATCAGGCGTACCACTGTTGTGATCAGGCCTACCACTGTTGTGTCGTCGGCAAACTTAATGATGGTGTTGGAGTCGTGCCTGGCCATGCAGTCATGGGTGAACAGGGAGTACAGGAGGGGACTGAGAACGCACCCCTGAGGTGCCCCCGTGTGAGGATCAGCGTGGCAGATGTGTTGTTACCTACCCTTACCACCTAGGGGCGGCCCGTCAGGAAGTCCAGGATCCAGTTGCAGAGGGAGGTGTTTAGTCCCAGGGTCCTTATCTTAGTGATGAGCTTTGAGGGCACTATGGTGTTGAACACTGAGCTGTAATCAATGAATAGCATTCTCACGTAGGTGTTCCTTTTGTCCAGGTGGGAAAGGGAAATGCAATAGAGATTGCATCATCTGTGGATCTGTTGGGGTGGTATGCACATTGGAGTGGGTCTAGGGTTTCTGGGATGATGGTGTTGATGTGAGCCATGAAGACTCGAGGCTGTAATCGCTGCCAAAGGTGCTTCAACAAAGTACTGAGTAAAGGGCCTGAATACTTATGTAAATGTGATATTTCAGTTTTTTATTTTTAATACATTTGCAAACATTTCTAAAAACCTGTTTTTGCTCTGTCATTATGGGGTATTGTGTGTAGATGGATGAGGGGAAAAAAACAATGTAATCAATTTTAGAATAAGGCTGTAACATAACAAAATGTGGAAAGAGTCAAGGGGTCTGAATACTTTCCAAATGCACGATAAGTCATTTAGCAGGCGCTCTTATGCAGCACGACTTACGGTAGTGAGTGCATACAATTTCATACCGGTCCCCTGTGGGAATCGAACCCATAACCCTGGCGTTGTACGCGCCATGCTCTACCAACTGAGCCACAACAGACCAATTCATCTAAGATCAGTTTTGCCTTTTGTATCATGTAACATTATATAGACAGGGGGAACCCTGATCCTAGACCAGCGGTCACACTGAAAGGCTTTCTGAATACCTGAGATGGAGTAGATGAAGGAGGCTGGAGGGGAGTCCCTGTCTGAGCAGGTCATCATGAAGCCCTGGATGTTGGAGCCTGTCCTAAGGTCCTTGGGGACTATTATATCTGTCCGGTTGGGGCCACACAGTGGAGGCTCATCATTGGCCTCTGTGATGTTGATAGTGACCTAAACAACATGCATACATATATCTTATTATTTGTTTTTAATTACCAGGTAAGACCCATTGAAGTTTAAAAAAACTTTTGCGAGGGCAACCTGGAGGCCGAAAAAAAACCGGTTGGAAAAAACAAGCACTGGACTGTGTTTACATCATTAGGAATAATGTCTTGTTATGTCAGTATAAAGGTCACCAGGCCGTGGTACCGTGGTGGTGGTGATGAGCGGGCTGATGGGGTCCCCGTCCTCAGCTCTGATGACCAGGATGTAGGTCTGGGTGGTCTCGTAGTCTGGGCGGGTCAGTAGGGTGAGGGTACCCAGCTTGGGGTCCAGGGAGAAGATGTTAGACAGACCACCAGTTCCTCCACCAGAGATCAGGGAGTAACGGACGGCCGTGGCAGGGAGGTCTCTGTCTGTAGCTTTCACTGATCCTATCACCGTCCCACCTGGACGGAGAGACACAAACATATCAATGAGCTCGGTGTGGTGTACACCTGCAGCAAATGTAGCAATCATTCATCAGTATCATCACTTTGGCCGCACCTGGTCCCAGATCGGGTTGTGCCAGCTCTGGGAACAGACAATGTTGTCGTTGTAGTCGTTATAGATGTAGTGTTGTTGTTATTGTTGTAGTGTAGTTATAGTTGTAGTGTAGTTGTCATCGTTTCTAGTGTAGTTGTTGTAGTGTAGTGTAGTTGTTATAGTTTCTAGTGTAGTTATTGTAGTTTAGTGTAGTTGTTATAGTTTCTAGTGTAGTTGTTGTAGTTTAGTGTAGTTGTTATAGTTTCTAGTGTAGTTGTTGTAGTTTAGTGTAGTTGTTATAGTTTCTAGTGTAGTTGTTGTAGTTTCTAGTGTAGTTGTTGTAGTGTAGTTGTTAGTTTCTAGTGTAGTTGTTGTAGTGTAGTGTAGTTGTTATAGTTTCTAGTGTATTTGTTGTAGTTTCTAGTGTAGTTGTTGTAGTGTAGTTGTTATAGTTTCTAGTGTAGTTGTTGTAGTGTAGTTGTCATCGTTTCTAGTGTAGTTGTTGTAGTGTAGTGTAGCTGTTATAGTTTCTAGTGTAGTTGTTATAGTTTCTAGTGTAGTTGTTGTAGTGTAGTTGTTCTATTTTCTAGTGTAGTTGTTGTAGTGTAGTTGTTATAGTTTCCAGTGTAGTTGTTGTAGTGTAGTGTAGTTGTTATATTTTCTAGTGTAGTTGTTGTAGTGTAGTGTAGTTGTTATAGTTTCTAGTGTAGTTGTTATAGTTTCTAGTGTAGTTGTTGTAGTGTAGTTGTTATATTTTCTAGTGTAGTTGTTGTAGTGTAGTTGTTCTATTTTCTAGTGTAGTTGTTGTAGTGTAGTTGTTATATTTTCTAGTGTAGTTGTTGTAGTGTAGTTGTTCTATTTTCTAGTGTAGTTGTTGTAGTGTAGTTGTTATAGTTTCCAGTGTAGTTGTTGTAGTGTAGTTGATTCTGTTTCTAGTGTAGTTGTTGTAGTGTAGTGTAATTGTTATAGTTTCTAGTGTAGTTGTTGTAGTGTAGTTGTTATAGTTTCTAGTGTAGTTGTTATAGTTTCTAGTGTAGTTGTTATAGTTTCTAGTGTAGTTGTTATAGTTTCTAGTGTAGTTGTTGTAGTTTTCTAGTGTAGTTGTTATAGTTTCTAGAGTAGTTGTTGTAGTGTAGTTGTGATAGTTGTAGTAACTTACGTCCAAGAAGCTCAGAGATTCTGTAGAAATACGATGGAGGGCTAAACACAGGGGGAAACTCATTCACAGGCGTCACGGTCACATAGATGTATGCACTACCTGCAAAGGACCATGGGAATCAGAGTTCAAAATGAGTGTGAGTGGAATAAAAATCACAGTACTGTACTTTGTGATATACACTTGTGTTCAGTCTAGGCAGTCAGTCACCTAATAAAAAAATAAACAAGCAAACCAACAAATAAACAGTCACATACCTTTTAGGTTGTTGTCATCCTGATCCTCAGCCACAGCCAACAGGCTGTATTCACCACCAACAAGCAGGTTACTGGGATCTTCAAAGTCTAGGTTTCCTTTGAGCTGTACGTCAAAAGAATTGTAAACAACTTTAGTTGTATACGTTTGTGACTTTGCATGAATGGAATCATTCAGTCATTTCATACTTTCATGTCACTGGTCAGGAAAAACTCCTGGCCCTTTTAAGGATTAATATTCTGCTTACTACGATCTGATTGGATCCCGGAGGTTCCAGAGCAAAGCGGTTGGTGCAGCCCAGACAGGACAGGCCAGTGAACAGGAACTCTCTGAAGGCTGTCTCCACGTCATTATCTGTACATGTTACCGTGGTGATCAGGGTCCCAGGTTTTTCCATCTCAGATACTGCCACCCTGGATCCAGTCAGAGAAAACAAGAAGGAAACAATGTAACGGATTCAAGGGCTGCTGCCTTTAGTGCACATACTAGTGTCAGCAGCTCTTCTGACACTCTCCTTTCCTACCTAACTGTCTCTCTCAAACTATGTTGGATAAAATACTGAAAAGAATACCTTTAAAAGATAAAGAACAATATAAAAAGATAACCTCGGTGTGTCTGGGGAGCAGATGGGAGGGTTGTCATTGATGTCAGTGACGGTGATGGTCAGAGTGATGGTGTTGGAGAGAGGACGACCAGAGGGGCTGTAGGTGGCTGTCACGGTGACCGTTATGATGGGGTCCTCCCTGAGAGGAGCTGAGTCACAGTCCATCCTGTTGGCTATGGTCACCAGGCCAGTGTCTGAGACATGGGAGAGACCAAAACACAGGGGCGCGCACACACACACACACACACACATACACACACACACACACACACACATACACACAAACACACAGTGAAAATGAACAAATGTTGTTTCATGCTAATAGTTTTTTTTATTTCAGTCAGGTTTTGAAGCTGAACACATACTGTATGTCTACATTCCAAAGTTTTCTAATTGTAGGGGGGACTGTTTGTTAAAACTGAATATGACAATCTTCACTAATTGATCACAGAACAAATTCCCTTTTAGTTATGGTCAAGTATCATAAGTGTGGTCAAGTATCATAAGTGTGGTCAAGTATGGTAAGTATGTGTCGTATGACCGAGCAGTGAACTCACATCTGTGTATAGCCAGGTAGTTGTTGGTGCTGATGCTGTAGAAGATGATGCCGATGTAAAAGGAGTCATCCGGTACCACTGCTGTGATGTTGGTCACGATAAACCCTGGACTCAGCTCCTCGGAGACACTGAAGGCTGTGATTGTACTGTTTGGGACGTGAAGGATATGTACGGTAGAAATGGGTGAGGTCATACAGGAATCCAAGCAGCTAGATGAGAAACACCCAATTTCAACCAGTGTGCTACCGACAGCAGTTTATGACCAATTCTTTAACTATCTATAAACTAATTAACCGTCTGTAAACGATGTATATGAATATTTTCTAAAGTATGCCTTAATGCGAAATGTTACTGAAGTCTTCAACCGACAGTGAAATAGTAATAATGACTTTAAGAACTCGGGTTTATCATCGTTCCTGTTGACGATGTTGATGACCAGTGTTCTGGATACCGTGTTGTTCCCGTCACTCACTGTCAGATTGAAGGCATAGCTGCAGGACACAGAATGGTGGACATATAAGAATCGGAATGTAACATTTACAAGACGTCTCTACCCACTGACATAATGCTGTGGTATGCTGTCAGCAATGTGAAATTGGTGGCGGGGTGGCAATTGAAATGTTGGTAACGCGTGTATGCAACATCAGTGGAGAGACATTTTTCAACGGCGCAGTACCCAATCCTCTGACATAAAATATTATAATGTGATGTCTGTGTGCAGGAGACACATCTCTACCTTCTGGGGTCAGTCAGATAGTTGAACTGTTTGGTTGTAGTCAGGAAACCTGAGCCAGTGTCAATACGAAACGCCGGGTTTGACGGGGTCAGTGTAAACTAAAATAAACAAAAAAAACATGTTAGTCAGGCATATCAACTAATAGACAGACGGTGTATGTGTCAGGCTTGCGCTTGCACATTAAATTCTATTTCAATACAGTGAATTTCAGTTTACATCCTGACCGAGTTGAAATGGAATTTACCCAACCCTGGTATGTGTGAGACAGTGGTAGGGCTAGTCATACAGTCAGTCAGTCAGTGTGTGTGGTGTGTGTGTGTGTGCGTGTGTGTGTGTGTGTGTGTGTGTGTGTGTGGTGTGTGTGTGTGTGTGTGTGTGTGTGTGTGTGTGTGTGTGTGCGTGCGTGTGTGTGTGTGTAGTTGAGGTAGTCATACAGTCAGTCAGTGTGTATGTGTGTGTGTGTGTGTGTGTGGTGTGTGTGTGCATGCGTGTGTGTGTGCGTGTGTGTGTGTGTGTGTGTGTGTGTGTGTGTGTGTGTAGTTGAGGTACAGTCACAGGGTGGTTCTCAGGATCAGAGACTGTTGGCCTGTAGATCTGTCTTGGTGGGGATTTTTCCAGAACATACAGGACAGACTCTGAGAGGATACAGGAACACACAGGAGGTTATAATGGGCTGTGTAAATCATAATCACCATATCACACATGTTCACACACACACACACACACACACACACACACACACACACACACACACACAGTACCTTCATCTAGGAATACAGGGGGTTCGTTGACGTCAGTTAGGATCACTGTGAGTCTCTGAAGAGCACTGTCCTCCATACTGTCCACAGCGAGGATTTGAAAGACAAAGTTGTTGGGTGACGTCTCAAAATCCAGGTTGGTAGTACCTGTTACTGATACCTGTATTCAGAACAGAAAATGTATCATGAAATCATCCACCTTTACTCTTACTTGGCAAGACATGGCGTTGTTCTGTGTTGGCTGTATCAGACCTGGGTTTAAATATTACTTGAAATCATTTCAAATACGTCTCAAAAGTGTAAACCCCGTCCCACCTAGCTCTCCAGACAGGCTGAAACAAAAGCTCAAAGTATTTGAAAGATTTCAAATAGTATTTGAACCCATGGTCTGGTATTTATGAGGCCTTGCTGTGGTAGTGTTGAGCAATGCCTCACCTGTGCTGTGGTAGTGTTGATCATGGACACAGTGAAGTCGTTGGTGAGGGGGTCAGAGTTAAGTATCCTGGGGAATCCTGATGCCAAGCTCGCCCCTGGGGACAGAGCCACCTGGAAGCTGTAGGTCACAGTACCAGCCTTGCTGTTCTCTGCCAGTCTAGCTGTGCCTGGCAGACCTGTCAACCAAACCTCTGGAGCCGAGCCTGAAACCATCCGCAGAGGAAATGAACAATAAGACCAAGACAGTGGTCAGTAGGCACCAAACAGAATAAAATGGCCCTGAATGAAGTTTAAAACAAGGAAGTGATATCTGATTCTGAACGTGTCCCAAAAAAAAAAAAATGCTTGTTTGTTTTCCATTACAAAACGTTTTACTATGGTGTGCCTTAACGAACATGACCCAGGAAAAGTCATACACAACCTATATTTATAATTAGCAGCTCAAACGTACAGTGTAAAGAAAAAAACACTTTGACAGAGGACAGTCTGGATGTAGTTGTCTCACCTCGTATCAGCCACATGCCCAGGTTCAGGCTCAGTAGGAGTTTGAAATCCATGTCCATTTCTCTCATCAAGGATCAAGTATCAAATGTCCTCTCAATAGCCCTATGCTACACCAAAGTACGTTTGAGTGTGTACTCTCTAATTGGACTAACCCAGCTCAGTTACTGGCAGATCCTACTTGTCCTACTCTACTGTAGTCTGTGTTGCTAGAGTCCTGTTGTGTTGGTAGATACAGAAATGTATGGTCTTTACCTCTTGATATGTGAGTCACACCAACTGTAAGTACAGGTCATTTCCTCTACCTTATGTTGAGCTTATCAGAGGACGGAGGACTGCATGCTCCAGCATATTTAGACAGATGATTGTGATCTGAATCTGAACTAGGCCCTGTGTATACAATAATTACCTTCATGTTTGAGGAGAGGCGTGTCCACAAAGAGGATATCTTTCTGGAGATATCTGCTAAATGTCTTTCTCCACAGGTAAAGTTGGGTTATCACTAAAATGGAATATTGATCAACAGACCACCTCTGAAAAGTCCTATTCATGTACAGCTAAACACAAAGTAATTAATAAACGTGATCGGATTTGAGTCCTTAGTAGATACTGTGAGTTAGTTTGGTAAGCTAAGTCTAGGTCACTAGAGTTGAATACACCACTGTTCAATGAGAAGGAACTCAACCTTTCAATATAACCCCTTTTCCCCTACACAGGTTGACAAAACACCAGATGAGGTAGGTTTAAAATAAAGTGAACGTTTTTATTACAGATTGAATAGTTTTACCGAAGGATTAGATCACAGATTTGTGCTGTCAATATGTAGGTGTGCTCGCTGAAAGCAAAGCACCATTTTAGAAACTGTTCATTCTTCTTGTTAGTCCGCTGGAACCTCTAGCGCCAAAACCGTAAAAGCTACCAACACCAAAACATTTAAAATGTCCAGACTAACACTGGTCAGTGTGCTTAAAAAAAACTTTTAGAGAGTACTTATTATTTTCACTACAACCATATTTGCATAAATCCCAGGTGCCATAGACTTGAATTGGAAAAATTCCAGTCACTACTACATTTACATGGAAGTCATTTAGCACTACTAGTCTTCAACCTTTTAAGCTAGAAACACCAAACTTTAAAATGTGCATAAAAGCGCCATCGACTTCAAAGGCAAAATGTGGATTCACTACTGCTCTTGATCCGTTTCAGCTACAAATACCACCCGACGTACAGTCGTGGTCAAAAGTTTTGAGAATGACACAAGTATTGGTCTTCACAAAGTTTGCTGCTTCAGTGTTTTTAGATATTTTTGTCAGATGTTACTATGGTATACTGAAGTATAATTACAAGCATTCCATGAGTGTCAAAGGCTTTTATTGACAATTACTTTAAGTTTATGCAAAGAGTCAATATTTGCAGTGTTGACCCTTCTTTTTCAAGACCTCTGCAATCCGCCCTGGCATGCTGTCAATGAACTTACATTTACATTTTAGCAGACGCTCTTATCCAGAGCGACTTACAGTTAGTGAGTGCATACAATTTTTTATTTTATTTTTTATACTGGAATCGAACCCACAACCCTGGCGTTGCAAATGCCATGCTCTACCAACTGAGCTACATCCCTGCCGGCCATTCCCTCCCCTACCCTGGACGACACTGGGCCAATTGTGCGCCGCCCCATGGGTCTCCCGGTCGCGGCCGGCTACAACAGAGCCTGGATTCGAACCAGGATCTCTAGTGGCACAGCTAGCACTGCGATGCAGTGCCTTAGACCACTGCGCCACTCGGGAGGACACATCCTGACTGATGGCAGCCCATTCTTGCATAATCAATGCTTGGAGTTTGTGGGTTTTTGTTTGTCCACCCGCCTCTTGAGGATTGACCACAAGTTCTCAATGGGATTAAGGTCAGGGGAGTTTCCTGGCCATGGACCCAAAATGTCGATGTTTTGTTCCCAGAGCCACTTAGTTATCACTTTTGCCATATGGCAAGGTGCTCCATCATACTGGAAAAGGCATTGTTCGCCACCAAACTGTTCTTGGATGGTTGGGAGAAGTTGCTCTCGGAGGATGTGTTAGTACCATTCTTTATTCATGGCTGTGTTCTTAGGCAAAATTGTGAGTGAGCCCACTCCCTTGGCTGAGAAGCAACGCAACACATGAATGGTCTCAGGATGCTTTACTGTTGGCATGACACAGGACTGGTAGTGCTCACCTTGTCTTCTCCGGACAAGCTTTTTTCCGGATGCCCCAAACCATCGGAAAGGGGATTCATCAGAGAAAATGACTTTACCCCAGTCCTCAGCAGTCCAATCCCTGTACCTTTTGCAGAATATCAGTCTGTCCCTGATGTTTTTCCTGGAGAGAAGTGGCTTCCTCGCTGCCCTTCTTGACACCAGGCCATCCACCAAAAGTCTTCGCCTCACTGTGCGTGCAAATGCACTCACACCTGCCTGCTGCCATTCCTGAGCAAGCTCTGCACTGGTGGTGCCCTGATCCCGCAGCTTAATCAACTTTAGGAGACGGTCCTGGCGCTTGCTGGACTTTCTTGGGCGCCCTGAAGCCTTCTTCACAACAATTGAACCTCTCTCCTTGAAGTTCTTGATGATCCGATAAATGGTTGATTTAGGTTCAATCTTACTAGCAGCAATATCCTTGCCTGTGAAGCCCTTTTTGTGCAAAGCAATGATGACGGCACGTGTTTCCTTGCAGGTAACCATGGTTAACAGAGGAAGAACAATGATTTCAAGCACCACCCTCCTTTTAATGCTTCCAGTCTAGTCTAACCCAATCAGCATGACAGAGTGATCTCCAGCCTTGTCCTCGTCAGCACTCTCACCTGTGTTAACGAGAGAATCACTGACATGAATGTCAGCTGGTCCTTTTGTGGCAGGGCTGAAATGCAGTGGAAATGTTTTTGGGGGATTAAGTTCATTTTCATGGCAAAGAGGGACTTTGCAATTCATCTGATCAATCTTCATAACATTCTGGAATATATGCAAATTGCCATCACAAAAACTGAGGCAGCAGACTTTGTGAAAATGTATATTTGTGTCGCTCTCAACTTTTGACCACGACTGTACAGACTAACTCAACTTAGATGGCTTCAACAAAGCTTTTTGATACCATTCCTACTTCAGAAACTAGCCCCATTCATTGCAATTGCAGAATACAGGCTTCAAACATTCTAAACTGAAATCACTGCCACCAAACGTTCAGAGCGTTCAAACTAAAACATTGAGAGCTTAAAAAAAACACATGGCTTTTGATAATACACTCTAGCCTACTATATTAGCCCATTTACAGCATTGTAGCAACAAGAGCAAAACAGCCGATTAATTTACTAAGCAGTTTATTTTGTGCATCTATATCACTGAGTCTACCTTTAAATGGGAATGCCTCTCAACAGTATATTCTTTAGACATTTTATATTCTGTCAAGTATTTGTAAATGTGCTGCTTTATTCAATAAAGAGTATTTATTTTATTTATAACTTCACCTGTACAAAGAGTCACCAACTATATTCATCAAAAAAGACAGTAGCCCCCTTTTCAAGGAAATATTTATTCAATGGGATCAAGTGACAGTGTCGATCACATCTTTTCTCTTTTCCAAAAGACAGCTCAGTTAAATATTAACAAATTTACAATCATGAGGAATGTAACAAAAACAGGAACAAAAACACAAGCCTTAAAAAAAAAATCTTATCCCATCAGGACCCTCCGCAGAGTGAGTGAAGTGTGGCCGATGGCCTTTACTTAGCCTGATCCCAGATCTGTTGGGCAAGACGGCACAAACAGATCTGGGACCGGGCTTAGTCTTGATTGGTGGCCATTGGGGTATCCTAGCCAGCCGGCGGTGGTGGTCGTGGCTAGCCAGACTGAATCACACTACTTTTCACTATTGTTTCTCTTAACTAAAACACACAGATAATGAGCGAGACAAACATGAACAGAAGTGGAATTCGGTCTGGGTTTCCAGTTATGACTTGGTTGGCCTTTGTTGAGGCTCAGCTCCAGGATTGGTCCATCATTACACCCTCCCCCATTTACAGTGCTTTATAATTCATCTTTGTCAGTTGCCTGTTGGACAGAGGGAGGGAGGTTAGTTGTAGTTTTCGACCATCATTATCTAAAAAAAATCATGCAGAACACGGCAAACTTTTGAATATTCAAAAGTTTCATCCCTAGTTTCAAACTAAAACCTCTTCCTCAGGCTATTGCCCACAGCAGATGATGCTGGTGGGAGGAGCTAGAGGATGGGCTCTTTGTAATGGCTGGAATGGAATAAATGGAACAGAGTCAAACATGTGGTTCCCATGTGTGATGTTTTTAATCCACTACCAATTATTCCATTCCAGCCATTACAATGAGCCTGTCCTCCTATAGCTCCTCCTACCAGCCGCCTCTGGTGCACAGTGCATATAAGCCTGGTACATCAACGATTCAAAGTTTGACTTAGTGGGAGTGACCTTACTGAGTAAAGTATTGGTCGTCGTTTAATTTTAGCGAATCACGACTGCAAAGCGCAGCTCGCTTACAAGGGAGGGTTAGGGTTGTGGGACATGATTGGTTGATAGATTAAGACAATGACTATGCGCCGGGAGTTTCTCAGTATCTCTGTATTGGCTAACCAAAGCCAAGTTTGACACGTTGGTCCACCAGACATTTGGGCGTTAGTGCCTGGGAAGGAAATTATCTGAACTATAAAACCATGAATGAACACCGCAACATGAAGATGTCATTACCCAAAACAGGTCAAGAATTGCATCATGCGATCTGAGAGACTCACCGTTTCGTCCTCATCTGGAATTTCCTCCTCAGCTTCTTCCTCAGCCTCCGCTGGCTCTTCAGGCTCCTCCTCCGGCTCCTCCTCCGGCTCCTCCTCAACCTGCAAGGGGGCGGGGCAACACATGATTCGATTTATTGTCCTCAGCATTTAAAAATCAGAGTAACACTGCATTTATTTTTCATACAGGTGGGATAACCCCTGAGCTACAGCAGCGTTTCCCCAACTCCGGTCCTCCAGTTCCCCCAACAGCACACGTTCTTGTTGTTGTAGCCCCAGACAAAAACATCTGATTCAAGTCATTGAGGGCTTGGATGTTAAGTTGAATCAGGTGTGCTTGTCCGGGGCTACAATAATGTACTGTTGGGGGGACTGGAGGAGGGGAACTCTTGGCTACAGCACCACAATACTCATTTACAGAACTTAGGAGTTTATCATGTCCTTATTGTGCAGGGCTGTGACATGCCTGTTCGGCGAGGTCCACATTCATACTGAGCCGCAGCATGCGCTCGATCCGGTTTCCGTAGGCCTTGGTGTCTTGGAGCTGGTAGCCTGAACGCAGCGTGGCCGTCTCAAACAGCACCATGGCCAGGTCTGAGGCCGTCTGGTCCTCGGCGTCCGTCTGCAGGGGAGAGGGGATGAGAATTAAACAGACTCAGCGATATGACATCGCCACGAGCAGCACTGCAGATGAGCACAAGGTACGGTCAACATCACTCAACTGACAAAAGATGACATCCTCTAGCTTGAGCCTCATTGGCCCCTCTTGAGAATCAAGTATGACAGAAATGTAACACTGTCTGTGTGTAGGTTGTGTGAATACTTACAGAAACACGTTTCAGCATCTCCTTGATGAGAGGGTGCTTTGGGTTGATTTCAAATGTTTTCTTCTGGCTTGCATAATAACTGGAAATACAGAGAGAAAGAGCATTAGGCCTACATTAGGAAACCTGAAGCACAAGTAGGATCTTGAAATACATATATATATATTTTTTAATCAGTCATAATGAGAAACATTTCGATCCTTTCATAATGCAAAAATGGAGAGGAGAGGAAGTGTTGTAGCTGAAGACTTCTAAAGACCACTCACTTTGTGGAGATGTCCTTCCCTGTCTGGTAGGCTTGTGCCTTCATGATCCTTTCCATGTTACCAGACCAGCCGTACTGGCTGGCTACAAGAGCACAGGGGGACTTGGTCAGCCTCTGGGACAGGATGGCCTTCTCAATCTACAAGAGAAAAAAAGGGAACATTGGCAAAATAGATAAAAAGGTTTTCCACAATATAATTTTCCATTTAATCCAAAAACATTTTAGGGCCAGATTCTCCTTTGAGAATGTTTTTTTTATTTTTTTATCCAGGACTAAACTTAATCAGAGTCTGGAAAAACAAGCCATGTTTTTTTTCCCCCCAGAGTGGGCTGAAGTCTGACCTTCATGTTCTGCATGTTACCTTGTCCTTGAGGGCGTTGTCCTTCATCCAGGTGGTGAGAGGTTCATACTCCTTCTCAAGGGCCTCCCTTGTCTCTTTGGCCTTGTCACTCTCGTCAAACTTGATGCCCTCCTTGGCCACGTTCTGGAAGCGCTTGCCGTCGAACTCTGGCAAGGCCTGGACACAGTACTCATCCACTGGCTCTGTCAGATAGATGACCTCATAACCCTTCTTCAACAGACTCTCTACGAAGGGAGAAGACTCCGCCTGGGGGGGAGAGGTCATTACACAAGGGAACACTAGGGTTAGGAGGAACATTAACCTACAACGTCACTATATTGCTGACACCTTCCAGATCTGCAACCATCCAGGGGGAAAGTGTAATGAAAGGTTACTTTCAGATGCTTTCAGAGAGGTTACCTTCTTCCTTACCTTGACCTTGTTTGAAAACGTCAAGAGTTTAAGGTAAGAAAGGGAGGGAAAGTCAAGGGAAAATCCAGAAGAGGATTGCATTTCAATTAATCCAGTTTATGGTCCACTCCACCCACCTCCTTTCAGCTAATCCTGGCCATGATGTATATCCGGTCCTGCTTCTCAATCCCCTCTACGTACGGCCACCGCCATACCAGGCCATGTGGCCTAAACAGCGTAACAACCCACCTCCTTGCGGCTGGTCCCGGCCATGAAGTAGATCTTGTCCTGCTTGTCCTTCATCCGCTCCACGTACTGCTCCAGGCTGGCCAGCACCGTGTCGCTGTTGGAGGTCTGGAAGCGCAGCAGCTTGGCCAGCCGGGTCCGGTTGGAGTGGTCCTCGATCACACCCAGCTTGATGTTGGTGCCAAACTCCTTCCAGAACTTCTCGTTGTACTGCTCCTCTGCGATCTTCTTTATCATGTCCAGGGTCTTACGCACCAGCTTCTTACGGATCACCTGGATGGAGGGAGGGGCTTTTAGTTACTAAGCTCACCATCGTTCTCCAAGTTGGTTAAATGATAAGTCATTGTGTTCCAATCGTATCGTCATTAGGCGCCAAACAGAAAACTGACCGAAACGGTCTAATTAGAGAGAGGCTCACCTTGAGCAGCTTGTGTTGCTGCAGGGTTTCTCTGGACACGTTCAGGGGCAGGTCATCAGAGTCCACCTAACAAAACAATTATCATAAATCCCTTAGAGAGATAGTAATAACATTATTAAATGAACAAAATCATTTAACTGTACAGCAGGGTCAGGGGTCAATTCCTTTTTTAATTCAGTCAATTCAAAAAACAAACCTTCACTTTATTGATCCAACCCTGCTGTGCCATGTCCTAGAAGATCAGTTACGTAACGTAAGCCTCACTCACCACTCCCCTGACAAAGTTCAGGTATTTGGGCATCATGTCATTGAAGTCATCAGTGATGAACACTCTACGGACAAACAGCTTGATGAAGTCGTTCTTCTTGGTTCCGTACTCGTCGAACATGCCCCTGGGGGCGGCAGCGGGGACAAACAGGATGGACTTGAAGGTGACCTCACCCTCGGCAGTGAAGTGGATGTGGGACAGGGGCTCGTCGGTGTCCTGGAGGGGAGATCGACAAATAAATCAAATTAGAACACCAAATCAAAATGTATTTATAAAGCCTGTTTCATATCAACAGTTTACAGCATAGACCCCAAAGAGCAAACAAAAAGAGGTAAGTTGGCTGGGAAGAACTCCCTGGAAGGAACTTCGAGAGGAGGTGCAGACTGCATACCTTGGAGAAGGTCTTGTAGAAGGCCTTGTACTCGTCCTCCTCTACTTCTTTGGCTGGTCTTGTCCAGATCGGCTTGATGTCGTTCATCAGCTCCCAGTCCCACACAGTCTTCTCAACCTGGACCAAAGGCATGAAGTGGTTTTGGTTGTTGTTGTTTTTTTAAAAAGTAAAAGAAAGACACTTATCAAAACCAATTGATGGCTAAGTTGTATTATACATGTTAGCATTGGAATAGATCAAATAAATGGAACTGAAGGAGAGATTTGGGAAACAACTAAAATAAAACAACTCCTTAACAGCCGAGCTGTTTGTTTTTACCTTCTTGGTCTTCGGCTTGTCCTTCTCCTCCTCCTCCTCTTCCTCCACCTCCACCTCATCCTCAGTGGCTTCTTTCTCCTCTGCCTCAGCGTCCTCGTCGATGGGTTCCTCAACAGTCTCAGTCTGAGAAGGGGGAGGAGAAAGGAAAATGGCTAAATGTTATTCCTACAGCTCATTGCAACATGGTTTGTGCCTTTGACAAACTTGCCTCATATCCGTCCTCTCCTTTATCATACACTACCGGTCAAGTTTTAGGAACACCTACTCATTCAAGGGTTTTCCTTTATTTTTACTATTTTCTACATTGTAGAATAATAGTGAAGTCAAACCTTTGAAATAACACATATGGAATCATGTAGAACCCCCCAAAAAAGTGTTGAACAAATCAAAATATATTTTACGTGAGATTCTTCAAATAGCCACCCTTTGCCTTGATGACAGCTTTGCATACTCTTGGCATTCTCTCAACCAGCTTCACCTGGAATGCTTTTCCAACAGTCTTGAAGGAGTTCCCACATATGCTGAGCACTTGTTAGCTGCTTTTCCTTCACTCTGCGGTCCGACTCATCCCAAACCATATCAATTTGGTTGAGGTTCGGGGGATTGTGGAGGCCAGGTCATCTGATGCAGCACTCCATCACTCTCCTTGGTAAAATAGCCCTTACACAGCCTGGAGGTGTGTTGTGTCATTGTCCTGTTGAAAACAAATGATAGTTCCACTAAGCCCAAACCAGATGGGATGGCGTATTGCTGCAGAATGCTGTGGTAGCCATGCTGGTTAAGTGTGCCTTGAATTCGAAATAAATCACAGTGTCACCAGCAAAGCACACCCCACCATAACACCTCCTCCTCCATGCTTCACAGTGGGAACTACACATGCGGAGATAATCCAGTCACCCACACCGCGTCCCACAAAGACATGGCGGTTGGAACCAAAAATCTCCAATTTGGACACCAGACCAAAGGACAAATTTCTACCGGTCTAATGTCCATTGCTCATGTTTCTTGGCCCAAGCAAGTCTCTTTTTATTGGTGTCCTTTAGTAGTGGTTTCTTTGCAGCAATTCGACCATGAAGGCCTGATTCACGCAGTCTCAGATGAACAGTTGATGTTGAGATGTGTCTGTTACTTGAACTCTGAAGCAATTATTTGGGCTGCAATTTCTGAGGCTGGTAACTCTAATGAAGTTATCCTCTGCAGCAGAGGTAACTCTCGGTCTTCCATTCCTGTGGCGGTCCTCATGAGAGCCAGTTTCATCATAGCGCTTGATGGTTTTTGCAACTGCACTTGAAGAAACTTTCAATGTTCTTGAAATGTTCAAGATTGATTGACCATGTCTTAAAGTAATGGACTGTTGTTTCTCTTTGCTTATTTGAGCTGTTCTTGCCATAATATGGACTTTTACCAAATAGGGCTATATTCTGCATACCACCCCAACCTTGTCACAACACAACTGATTGGCCCAAACGCATTAAGGAGGAAAGAAATTCCACAAATTAACTTTTAAGGCACACCTGTTAATTGAAATACATTCCAGGTGACTACCTCATGAAGCTGGTTGAGAGAATTCCAAGTGTGTGCAAAGCTGTCAAAGTCAAAGGGTGGCTATTTGAAGAATCTCAAATATGAAATATATTTTGACTTGTTTGAACACTTTTTTGGTTACTACATGATTCCATATGTGTCATTTCACAGTTGAGGTATTCACTATTATTCTACAATGTAGAAAATAGTAAAAAATAAAAGGAACACCCTTGAATGAGTAGGTGTTCTAAAACTTTTGACCGGTAGTGTATGATAAGCTTGATTTCACCACATTGTTTTCACCTGTAAATTATTTTGCTATCAGTGCAGATGAAGGAGAGTACAGGACAAATAGTATAGTGCAGTAGTGGTACAGTTCCACTCCAATACCTTGCTGGACCAGACGTAGATGGGGAAATTGATGAACTGGGAGTACTTCCTGACCAGGTTCTTGATTGTCTCCAGCTCCAGGTAGTCTGTAGCCTCCTCTTTCATCACCAACCTGGACCAATCAAAAAAAGACAACCGGTTAGAACCTTGGTAATGTCAAAACATGAGTCAGTCAAAATACAGATTGATTCAAGGCCATGTACTTCGTGTTTTGGATTTCATTGAGGGCTTTTATCCTGTATCATCTTATAATGCTACACAAGTTCATTTAATTCATGGCCACTGTATGAATACCACAGCCTGGTATTCAAAAAACGTTCAAATACTAGGAGCGTTTGCTTGTGGCTGTCTAGACTGCCAGTTTTTAGTATGACTGATATGTGGTTGTCTCACCTAGCTATCAACAGTAAGTCACTCTGGATAACAGTAAGTCACTCTGGATAGCATCTGCTAAATGAATAAAATGTCAACATAAATGTACTCTTATTGAGGCACTCACGTGATAGTGGTGCCCCTTCCTAGGGTGTCTCCGCGGGGGTCCTCGATCACGCTGAACTCGTTGGAGTCGGACTCCCAGATGTGCTGCGTGCCGTTGTTGTGCTTCGAAGACACGATCACCTTGTCAGCAACCAGGAAGGCGGAGTAGAAGCCCACGCCGAACTGGCCAATCAGCTCCGAGGTGGACTGGCCCTCACTTTCAACCTCCGTCATCTTGTTCAGGAACTCGCTGGTGCCCGACTTGGCGATGGTACCCAGGTTCCTAACCAGGTCGTCTTTGGTCATGCCGATGCCCGTGTCTGTGATGTGGAGCATGTTTTTCTCCTTGTCAGACTGGGGAGGAGAAGATTAAGAAAATAGGTGAGCTCAGAAGTCCTAATGGTATTTTATGAACGATTTCCATGTCTTACAAAGCGGAATGGATCAGTCAAATATATTTCAAAAGATACCCTCCAATTCAAGACTTCCCCGATTCCTTGTATCCTCTCCTAACAGTTTCTAAACACATTGGAGAAGAAGGTCCAACGGGAGGGACCTTGGACCTTCTCCAGTACGGTTGAGAAAGGTGTGAGGAATTGAGATTGAGGACATGACCATGAAACACACCTTGATCTTGATGGTGAGCTCCTCGTTGGCTGCCAGCGCGTCCTCATTGGTCAGAGACATCAGTCTGATCTTATCCAAAGCATCAGAGGCGTTGGAGATCAACTCCCTCAAGAAAATCTACAACAGACTGGATGGTTATTGTTGACTTACTTCGACTCAAACCTCTTTGGGTTGGTTATGGTTGGATCGACTCAACTTCTACTGACTCTACGATCTGGAGTGATAATATTAACCGTCTCAAGATCTAACACAAAGGAGGACAAGGGACGTATGGGGAAGTTTCCCGGAATCCTGCAACCCTACCACCACTCACCTCCTTGTTCTTGTAGAGTGAGTTGATGATGAGCTTCATCATGCGATTGACCTCTGCCTGGAAGACATGTTTCTCTGACTTCTCTCTAATCTCTTTGATCTGAGCTGCGTTCAGCCCGTCCAGCTGGATAGACTCCTCCTCTCTGAGGACGAAGAGAGAGAGAGAGAGACAGAGATAAATCAGTGACATTCAACAGGTAAGTGCATCACTAAAGTAAACGGCAACTGACCGTCACCTTTCCCCCCCCCCTGTAGACTTGTCATGTTTCACTTTAAGGTTCCTCCCAAACAATTGTGTCAGAGCTGATCAACTACCAAACACACATCAGCAATGAAGCTGAGACCCACCCCTCAGTCTGGTTCCTCTAAGTTCCTTCGTATTTGACCTACCTCTGCACCACCTCATCATCTGTCTTGGATCCATCTCTGCTCTTTCCCAGATCATCCTCCACAGTCCCGTCGATGTCAAGGTCATCTTCTGCTCTCACAGATGCTGCAAAGAAAGACCACTGAAGTTAGCAGAGCAGGTGGTGTATCTTTGAAAGGCAACGTATTCATGGCAAATTCCACCCAAAAACTATTAGTCCATTGTTGACATAATGCCAAAGTGTGTTGCTTGTCAGCACTCAAAATCTCAAGATATGTAACTTTCAAAATACAGAAATAATCCACGTACGATGCATTTTGCGTCATAACGCAAAATGCATCATCATATGATGTAAAATGCATCATACAGGGATGACTTCTGTATTTTGAAAGTTACATATCTTGAAAACTTGAGTGCTGACAAGCAAAACATTTTGGGACTATGTAAACAATGAACCAATGAAACAAATACCCAAATATAGTTTTCCTTTAAGTTACACTCTGAAAATGCTAGCTACCCTGACGAGTTTCAAAGAAAAAGAGTCGCACGCAAATCAAAAAGGTGATGTAGCCTAATCCACCTGGTACATAAAATGTTTTAATTCAGTCACGGGCTATACTTAGCTAAACGTAGCTTTATTCCTTAGTTAGCCAAAATGACAGGAAATACAGATATCGCAAACTAGCTACGCTAGCTAGGATGAGCAAGCCAAGGCTAGCATTGTAACGTTAGCAGCTAAGAAACAATATCAGTGGGTAACGTTACCGCTATCTGACTAGGGTTGGTAGCTAGGAAAAGGATGTTTGCTTAGCTTATAAGGAAACTTCCAGAAACATGTGTGAAGTAGGGAGTAAATCTCCTAGAATCAATATCAATGAATAAAACCCCAAATTCTTACAAATAAAAGGCCTAGTGGTGTCCATAACTAACTATTAGCGTGAAATACAAGCTTGCGATTCAGTTGGCTAGCTGGCTAACCTGGCTAGCAATAAAGGAAATCAAGTTCGAACGCTAGCTCGTATGGATAGACGCCGTTAATAGCAATGCGGGTAATAGCTAATAAAACACATCCTCAGATACTCACCGAATGCTAAAAGTGCACAGAGCAGCCCAATAAACCAAATCCGCTTCATTTTGTTAAAATTATTGAATGAAGCCTTCCGCTCTTCAGAGAAAAAGCCGTGGGGTCTCAACCTACACCTCAGAAGTATCAACGACAACGCACACACCGACGCCTTGACCAGCTCGAGCTCCCCCAACAAAAGCGCCCCTTTTAATAACCCCCCCGAAACGGGCCAATCACAGGGCACCACGCACAAACCACAGCCAATAGCAGCAGGACATTTCATAGGACATTTTCTCCCAATAGACGTCTTCCATGTAAAACGTGATACATGAAAATCGTGGCTTGTAACCATTGGCTAAATAATTCTTCTAGTGGTACTTTTGGAAGCAACTACTATAAAATATTGCTCAACAAACAATGTCTATGCATGTTGCTCAATCAGTGTTTTTTAGATGATAAATTGTGTTGATGTGATGATCATTTATCAATATTATATTTGGCCACTATAATGATAATGTTTTGTTTACAGAAACTGATCGGCTATAATGCACAATAGACATTCATACTGCATAAGAAACAATTCATTGCATAGAGAGGGATACGATATCAGGGACAGGTACATGCACATAATAAGCAGAGAGGTTTCAAAACATATATAGACCCTCTTGGTAATACGTCTATGAATATGCTAGATTAGGAACAGACACGTACAATCATGTTTACAACAGTCGGCAACATATAGGTTATTGGGCTAATCTGAACTATGTAATATGATTGATAAAGATTTCTACAGTAAACAGACCGTTAGTGTATGTTCAACAGCCAACCACAAGGTGGAAGTCAGGAGTCATTGGAGTGATCATGGAATATCTGTAGGCTACTCTGAAGAAAATGAGCTGCATATGTAATTAAAACGATCATATTATATAGAAGCAAAATAATGTGTGGATCTGTGGCAACTGCTAGCCTTTACTGTCTGTCAATAAAGGCAACAGGGCCACATTACTTTGAAAAGTGTAGTCCCTCCCAGAGCTGTGTATTTAGATACAGTACATGGCGTTGGTCTTTAGATACATGGCGCTGGTGTTTAGATACACAGCTCTGGTGTTTAGATACACAGCTCTGGTGTTTTAGGCTATTATTTGGGAGAGAAATATGATGGTGCATCTAGTGATTATTAAACAACTAATTGACCGACGTTGGTTCAATTACTTGAATTCCATTTAGTTCGTTTTTTTTGTGTGAGCCCAGTTTGACTAGAGAGAAATCAAATCATTCAGGAGCTAAATCAACTCAAGAAATATGTGGGACGCTGGGCTGAAGGGAGTTGTAGTTTTCATTAGGCAAATATTCAACCTACAGTTGAAGTCGGAAGTTTAATACACTTAAGTTAAAACTCGTTTTTCAACCACTCCACAAATCTCTTGTTAACAAACTATAGTTTTGGCAAGTCGGTTGCTCCAAAATCGCCATAAAAAAGCCAGACTACGGTTTGCAACTGCACATGGGGACAAAGATTGTACTTTTTGGAGAAATGTCCTCTGGTCTGATGAAACAAAAATAGAACTGTTTGGCCATAATGATCATCGTTATGTTTGGAGGAAAAAGGGGGCTGCTTGCAAGCCGAAGAACACCATCCCAACCGTGAAGCACGGGGGTGGCAGCATCATGCTGTGGGGGTGCTTTGCTGCAGGAGGGACTGGTGCACTTCACAAAATAGATGGCATCATGAGGAAGGAAAATTATGTGGATATATTGAAGCAACATCTCAAGACATCAGTCAGGAAGTTAAAGCTTGGTCGCAAATGGGTCTTCCAAATGGACAATGACCCCAAGCATACTTCCAAAGTTGTGGCAAAATGGCTTAAGGACAATAAAGTCAAGGTATTGGAGTGGCCATCACAAAGCCCTGACCTCAATCCTATAGAAAATGTGTGGGCAGAACTGAAAAAGCGTGTGGAAGCAAGGAGGCCTACAAACCTGACTCAGTTACACCAGCTCTGTCAGGAGGAATGGGCCAAAATTCACCCAACTTATTGTGGAAGGCTACCCGAAACGTTTGACCCAAGTTAAACAATTTAAAGGCAATGCTACCAAATACTAATTGAGTGTATGTAAACTTCTGACCCACTGGGAATGTGATGAAAGAAATAAAAGCTGAAATAAATCATTCTCTCTACTATTATTCTGACATTTCACATTCTTAAAATAAAGTGGTGATCCTAACTGACCTAAGACAGGGAATTTTTACTAGGATTAAATGTCAGGAATTGTGGAAAAACTGAGTTTAAATGTATTTGGCTAAGGTGTATGTAAACCTCCGACTTCAACTGTAGTTCAGCGCAGAATTATGTAATTAACTAATAATAATAATATGCCATTTAGCAGACGCTTTTATCCAAAGCGACTTACAGTCATGCGTGCATACATTTTTGTGTATGGGTGGTCCCGGGGATCGAACCCACTACCTTGGCGTTACAAGCGCCGTGCTCTACCAGCTGAGCTACAGAGGACCACAACTACAATACCACAATCCATTGCGCCTGTTTTTGTCTGGCTCAGGCAGAGATGGATACACTTTTAGGCCTGCTACGTTAGGTTAGAAACACACAGACCGCATAGACCACATGAAAGAGGAACGTACACAACCCAACGACCAGAGAGAGGGATAGACAGCAGTTGTGTAGCTTCTTTGAAGAACGAGTACAATTATTTTGTCAGACAGCTCAGCAGTTAGCCTAGCTTAATATGATGACTAAAGACAGAACAGTACGGGGAGTACAGGGATAACGTTGTCTGGCTGTTTGGCTGCTACTCCCTGAGCAGAGATGATATGATGGCTTTAACCTGTTAAACTCTGAGCTGTTGTTTTGGGCCCGGTGAATTTGGGGGCTTGGAAATCTTACTGCTGGCAATGTCATAAGAATCTCCCCTCCCCCCATAAAGGCCATAAATCATGCGCTATAGACATATTCATAGAGTATGCAATGTAGGTCATGTCACCAAAAGTGCAAACATTTAGTATGCATGGATAGAATACATCCTGATGGTCATTCTAAAGCAAAGCAATGCATTTCCTCCTCCATCCACATTACTTTGTACGCCGTTTCGCCAGCTCGTCGTTTACAGTAGGAAAAAATGAATGGGAAAAGAAGTTTGCAGTTTCTTCACCTGTCTGTGTCTTATTTCAAAAACAAAAAACTCCATAACTTGAAAGCCCTGATTGCTAAGGTCATTTTAAGATGTCAGACATGAACATCTGTTCAGCCATTTTGGCACAGTGACTCACTACCCAAATCAGACGCAACTGGTTTCAAGTGGCCAAGAGACGTCATGTGAACTGCTACTGCCGTCTAGTGGACGAACTGGGAATCAGACATAGGATATATTTACATTAATGGATAGGTAAGGACAGCTTTCTCTTCGTATGTACACTACCAGTCAAAAGTTTTAGAACACCTACTCATTCAAGGGTTTTTCTTTATTTTTACTATTTTCTACATTGTAGAATAATAGTAAAGACATCAAAACTATGAAATAACACATATGGAATTATGTAGTAAAAAAGTGTTAAACAAATCAAAATATATTTTATATTTGAGATTTTTCAAATAGCCACCCTTTGCCTTGATGACAGCTTTGCACGCTAAAAGCTTTAATAGTTTAAAAGTATAAAACATATATAAAAGTACACAAGCACACTATTCCACACAGATCTGCGCGTTTTAATGTTTGAATGACGTTTCTGATCTTAACTTTTTTTGTACATAATGTTTCCGAAAATAGCTTCTGGACATCAGAACAGCGATCACTAACCTCACATCTGTAGCCATGAAACGCTTTTGAAGGGCTGGTCATGGCTCACATCAACACCATCATCCCAGACACCCTGGACCCACTCCAATTCACATACCGCCCCAAGAGATCCACAGATGACGCAATCTCTATTGCACTCCACACTGCCCTTTCCCACTTGGACAAAAGGAACACCTACTTGAGAATGCTGTTCATTGACTACAGCTCAGCATAGACTACACCAGGGTTCTTCAATTCCGGTCCTGGAGGGCCGAAACACTTCAGTTTTTATTTCTACCTGGTAGTTAATTGCACTCACCTGGTGTCCCAGGTCTGAATTAGCCCCTGATTAGAAGGAGAGGATGAAAAACAGAGGTGTTTCGGCCCTCCAGGACCGGAATTGAAGAACCCTGGACTACACCATAGTGCCCTCGAAGCTCATCACTAAGCTAAGGTCCCTGGGACTGAACACCTCCCTCTTCAACTGGATCCTGGACTTCCTGATGGGCCGCCTCCAGGTGCTGAGGGTTAGCAACAACACATCTGCCACGCTGACCCTCAACACAGGGGCCCCTCAGGGGTGCATTGGGAGCTCATTTAAATATATTTGTAGTACATCAAGTATAAATGCTATCACAAATATTTCTCTAACAATCTCAGTTGGGGCAGTCTGCACATTTGAAAGTTGTTTTTTTGTTCATAGCTTGCCTTCATCAAGCACATCTAATAGTAAGAAGTATGGTGAAGATTTAAAGTGGTAGCAGCAATGGTGCACATGTGTGTAGTGTGTGTGTGTGTGTGTGTGTGTGTGTGTGTGTGTGTGTGTGTGTGTGTGTGTGTGTGTGTGTGTGTGTGTGTGTGTGTGTGTGCGTGCGTGCGTGCGTGCGTGTAATACTACTACAGTTATAATCACACAATCGACCAATGTGTTATAACAAATGATTTATCTTAACTGATAGCTAAAGTGTTACCAGAGTAGCAGTCTTTCAACGGGGAGTTTAGAAAACTACTGTACTATCTTTTGCTTCAACATGAACAGATAATGAACCTCGTACTGATAGGCTCTGTCATTTTGACTGTTGACCGTTCATATATAAAGTAATTGGTTGACAGGCAGAGTGGAAGTGATGTATCCGCTGAAGAGCTAGGGGGTACGGATTCTGTAGTTATCCTAGCAGCAGGATATTATGCTGGCAGCATGATAGCAGATTTATATTTATTTAAATAAGAGTCCCCCTGCAAAGACATGCTAAACTTTGGGGAATCAATTTT